AACACAAATGCACACTTTAGACAATAAATCTGTGATCCCGAGAAGCAGTTTAAACTGTAAATACTTTTGAATTAAGAAAGCACAATACTGAAGAACTCCCAAAGATACTTTTAAGTAAAAAGTCAACTACATTTTAAAACTGTGGTGAAAATACACGTAAGAAAGCATACACCAATTTAACAATTTCTATGCCCATAATTCAGTGGCACTGAATTCGCTCTTCCAGCTGTGCACGCACTCTCAATTCCAAGTCATTCCACTGTCATCATCTAAACTCACTGCCCGCCAGCCGAACCTTTCCCTTTCCTCCTCCCTTCCAGCTCCGGTAATCCTTTATAACTTTTCGTTTCTATGTATGTGTTAAGGAGCTCTGGTAGCTCAGTGGTTACGAGTCAGGCTGCTAAACCTCAGGAGTTCGAAATTAACATCTGTTCCGCAGGAGAACGATGAGGCTTTCTGCTGCCATAAAGATTTACAGCTTCAGAAACCCTATGCAGGGTGGCTATGAGCGGCACCAAGCACACGGCACATCACCACATATGTGTCGGAGTCCTGTTGTGGCACTGTTGGGTTAATGCACTGAACTGCAAAGTCAGTTGGAACCACAAGGTTGGCAGGTCACACTCATTAGCTGTTCCTCAGAAACCCTATACTGAGTGGCTATGGGGTGGAAATGGCTTAACTGCACTTAACAACAAATATATGCGCTATTTCATATATGTAAGATCATACAGTATTTGCCATTCTGTGACTAATTTTGCTTAGCATAATGATTTGAAGGTATGATTATCCATGCTGTAACATGAATAACATGTTGTTAAGTGCTGTCGAGTCCATTCTGACCCATAGCGACCCTGTGTAGGGTTTCCAAGGTGCAGCTGGTGAGCTTGAACCGCTGACCTTGCAGTTCAAACAGCTTTGCAGTCTGGCACACCAGGACTCCATAAAACAAGTATCAAGGCTTTTTATTGCTCTTTATTATGAATAATACTCCATGTTATGTACAGACCACATTTTATTTATCCATTCATAGTTGATGAACATTTTGGACTTTTCCACCTTTTGGCCATTGAGAGTTGTGCAAATGTTTCAATGAACATTAGTATACATGTGTCTATTCACAGTGCTGCTTTCACGTTTGTTGGGCAGAAGCCTAAAAGTCACTCTTCTTGGGAATAATGACGTCAATGGTATGGAAGTACAGTCAGAATGCGTCTTAGAAGTGACAACCGAGAGACTCCCTCTCTTGTACTCTGGATGTATGGCCAGGAGGGACCAGTCCCTGGAAAAGTTCATTGAGTGATTCCGACTCACAGTTACCCTATATAGGGTTTTATAGGTGCAACCTCAGCTTTCTCCCAAGTGTTTAGTGGGTTTGACCCACTGACCTTGTGGTTAGCAGGCCAGTACGCACTCTACAGTACGCATCAATTTCAGTTTCCGAGTTATAGTGACCCTGTACGGGGTTTCCGAGGCTATAAATCTTTATGGGAGCAGAAAGCCTCATCTTTCTCCCATGGAACAACCGGTAGTTTCGAACTGCTGACTGTGAGATTAGCAGCCCAATTCGTAATCACTACGCTATCAGAGCTCCTTGTAGCCCTAACATATTCTAAGAAGGTGGCTCACCACTGACACCACCCACTGCCATCAAGTGAATTCCAACTCACAGCAACCCTGGAAGGCAGAGGACACCTGCTCCTAGGTTTCTGAGATGGTAAATCTTTATCCAGCAGGTCTGAACTTCACACCTTGAAGTTAGCAGCCCACCGCCTAACCCACAGCACCACCAGGACTCCTAAGAAGGTGGCTACCCATCTTGTTTTCTACTCCAAAAGTAGGATAAGGGTGGTGGTGGTGGTGGTTATGTGCTGTGGAGTTGGAGCGACCCTGTATAGGGTTTCCGAGGCTGTAAATCTTTACGGGAGCAGAAAGCCTCATCTTTCTCTCATGGAACAGCTGGCAGTTTAGAACTGGCTGACCTTGAGGCGCACAGCCCGATTCATAACCACTATGCTACCAGATAGAGGGGGAAATGGGACTGTACTATGTGTAATTTCAAAGTTTTCCAAGAGCCATGTTTTGCTCTGTACATTCTCACCATGCAATTTTTTTTTTTTAAAAAAAGAAGCTGCAGGGAAAAATGACACTTCCTGATGATACACATCCTTGGACATGCTTCTATGTGGAGCTGTAGGAAAAGCACTAGACTGCTAACTGCAAGATCGGCTGTTCAGACCCAATAGCCATTCCTAAGAAACCAACACTATACAGGAACTCCTATACAGGGCCACTATGAGTAGGGGCTGTCTCAACACAATTTAATAGCAATATGGTTACCATAAAAGATATGGCATAGAATTTAAGCAATGATTGTTTACCTCAGGGAGAGCCTGGTTCTTTCCCCGAGATAACATACACATACACAAAAAAATAACTTTTTCAAAATGAGAACCACTGATCTAACTCCTAATCCAACTCTCTTAGCTGATGTACAACAAAGTCAAATTTAGATAGAACTTGCCAAGATCTTCCTTAACTCAGTCACAAATCCTAGAATAGTTTTACTACTAGTTCTGGGAACAACAACAACAAAAGCAAACTATGACTGACCATAGTTTTTCCATCTAGCATTTGTTGTTGTTATGTGCTGTGGAGTCAGTTCCGACTCACAGCGACCCTGTACAGGGTTTCCGAGGCTGTAAATCTTTCCGGGAGCAGAACGCCTCATCTTTCTCCCACGGAACAGCTGGTAGTTTCTAACTGCTGACCTTGCGGTTCACAGCCCGATTCATAACCACTACGCTACCAGAGCTCCTTTCCATCTAGCATTAAGGGATGGTAAATTTCTCCCCTTCACAGTCAACCTAACACCAGGGCTTTGAACCAGTTTCTTTCTATTTAACCCCCTGCAAGAATATGAATGTTCACCCAAGATATACTGGATTGTTGTTGTTGTTAAGTGACTTCAAGAGTCAGTTCTGATTTTGATTCATAGTGACCCTATATAGGGTTTCCAAGGAGCAGCTGATGAATTTGAACTGCTGACCTTGCAGTTCAAACTGACCTTTGTGATCCAGTGCATTAACCCACAGAGCCACACCAGGAGACTCCATATATTGGATTATAACCTATATTTTAACAAACTTCCCAAGTTTTACTTCATTTTACGCCATGAAGTCCTGATGATCTGGGATGGAAATGCAAAGTTATCGAGGATTCAAACAAACACAGAACAGAAAATTTCTGGAGGAAAAAAACTGAGTGTTTATGATGCTGGTGTGTGTGTGTCACTGTGAGTAGGAGCCTTACAAGTGATCAAAGCAACCCCTAATAGGCCGAGGGGTGTAAAGTACTACTTACAAAGCACCTGCATTATATTCAGTATTATAAATAACCTGTTGTTACTTCCAACACATATAGACCCTATGCAGGATTTCTTGTATAGGATTTCTGCAAAAGAGCTGATGGGTTTGAACCACAGACAACGCAGTTAGCAGTCTCGTGCTTATCCTACAGGCCACACCAGAACTCCTGCGTACCCACTAGTGGTGTTGGTGTGCTGTGGAGTTTATTCCGACTCATAGTAACGCTGTATAGGATTTCCGAGGCTGTAAATCTTTACGGGAGCAGAAAGGCTCAGGTTTCTCCTGCGGAGCGCCTGGTGCATTCTTACTGCTGACCTTGCGGTTAGCAACCCAACGTGTAACTACTAGCTACTAGGGCTTCTTGTCCTGGCGGTTACAACGCTGCGGTATGGTTTCCGAGGTGTGGCCGGAGGGTTTGAACCACCAACTTTGTGGTTAGCAGTCTAGGGCTTATCCTACAATGCTAACCAGGGCCACACCGGGGGCCTTACGGAAGAAAAGTCATCTGACACTTGAAACTGGAAAGATTCACAATTCTAGATTAAGCTAAATAAGACCCTTAAGTATTTAAAAAAAAAAAAAAATTCTCCCCTGAGGTAACAAAGTCTACTTGAGTTACACTAGTCCTGACCACGATGGACCGAGTACGGTCACAATTTTGCCAACTAATTAAACTTGACTTTAGGGTCTTCCACTTCCTATTCCAAGGGACCAGGGGTAAGCGGAAAAATCACGAAGCACTGAAAAGATATGGTATAGGCATTCTTAAGAAAACATACATTATCCAACCGCTACCAATTCCTTACTTAAAAAGTACTTGATAATCACAAGTTTTTGGTTTTATGGCAAATTCAACATTGCTAAAAAAAATGGTGCCTGCGACAAACATAGGATAAGGTTCTTTCTGAACAACTCTATTTAAAGCTGCACTCTTCCACATTCCATTGCCCGGTCCTATTTTATGTTCTTCACAACACTTGGCATTGAAAAAACAAACAGCCCAACAAACGTCTTTCTGATTTATCACCCGTTTCCCTTGCTAAATGTACATTACAGGCGAGCACAGATCCTTGTATCTATCTTCTACCCACAAAGCCCGGCCCCAGTGCCTGGTATGTGCTGGGCGCTCAAAAAATTGTACTGAATAAACACAATCGTAGACCCTCAATAAAATCTAAGCGAAAAGATCTCTTTTCGGTTTGTCACAAACTTCTGCCTCCTAAGCACTCTTGCCTCGAGCAAGGGGATTCAGACCTCTTGGGGTACAGTCGCTAGTCTTCGTGGGACTGAGCACCATCGAAAAGAAGAAAGAGAGACTCAAGAGAAACCTAATGACCAGAGCTCGGGAAGAGAATTAACGGGGGCCAGACGCGGCAGAGTTAAGCGTCATGGAGAGAAAGGGTTGATCTCGGGGGAGACAGAGAAGCTGGCGCCCAGGGAGCCACGCTCTCCTAGGCGAAACCGCAATCTGCACTTCAGGACACCGGTCTTACCCAACCAGACGATCCGGAGCGGCTGGGAGCCCGCGGGAGGGCGAAGCAGCAGCCCCCGCCAGGCCGGGGAGCTCGGCGGGGCGCGCAATCGAATCGAGGCCGCGAAGCGCCAGGCCCTGCAGGCCGCTCGGGGACTCACCTGGCCCACTTGCTCCGTGGCATCAGCTAAGATGCCATAGTTACGGTAAAGCTCCTCCACCGTCGGCATGATGAGCGGCAAGGCGATGATCCGCTCCTGCTATCGTCGTCTCCGGCCGGCGCCACCACCGCCTATGAAGTTCTCCAAGCCCGCGACCCGCACTATTACGCCTCCAGCAGACGCCACGGCCGCCGCCAGTCACCGCGCATAGCAAGGCTCCGCCCCCAACGTCTACGTAAGGACGTACGAGTCGGGCGAGGCTTTCATTGACCTCCAATATGCTACCGGGAGTTTTATCGCCCTCTAAAGGATGGAGGTGCAAACTGCAGCAATTCGACGATTCGATTGTTTGTGTGACAAACAACAAAGGGTTCCGACTCATAGCAACCCCGCATAGGGTTTCCGAGGAGCGGCTGTTGAGTTTGAATCGCTAATCTTGTGGTTCAAACCTACCACAATTAGATTGTTGTTAAGTGCCCTGGAGTCAGTTCCGACCCCTAGCGACCTAGTACAGGGTCTCCAAAGAGCAGATGTTGAGTTTGAACAGCCGACCTTGTGGTTGAAACCGACCTTGCGGTCCTGAGCTTCTCCTACAGCGCCATACCAGGACTCCACGAATAGATTGTTGCTATGTGCCGTGGAGTCGGTTCCGACTCCTAGTGACCCTGACCAGGGTTTCCGAGGCTGTAAATCTTTACCGGAGCAGAAAGCCTCGTCTTTCTCCCGCGGAACAGCTGGTAGTTTCGGACTGCTGACCTCGTGGTTCGTCGTAACCACTACGCTATCAGAGCTCCACGAATAGATTAGCTAATGCTTTTTAAGAATATTGGATTATGTCTGGTTAGGAACTTTTGGTAAGAGGTTGAGGAGAATACAAAGATGACTGCGTGTCTAACTCTAAGAGATTTTATATTTTCCAGCAAAGTGATCGTGCAGCGAGAATAACAGGATGCGAGATGGGAGATGTATGAAAAATCAATTCTGCATGATTCAAGGAATGTAACAAATTTTAGTGAAAGGGGGCAATAAGTCTTCTGGTAAGCAAAAAGCACCAAAATATCATTATAGCAAACAAAGTCAGGGTCCACCAAACTAAACAAAACTAGAGCTCAAATTTAGCTTGCTAGAAGAGTTTTCCACCAATCACCTGTCAGTTTGTCGTACTGTGGTGGCTATTTTAAATGCCAGAAGGGGCACCCATGGTGGACAGGTTTCATACGACCTTCCAGACTAAGACAGATGAGGAAAAAGGACAGGCAGACTACTTCTGAATGTTTAGCCACTGAAAACCTTATGAATAGCTGTTTAACGCTGCCAGATAGCAGCACGGTATTGAAAATGGAAACATTCTGAATGCACCAGAATACTGTCAGATAGGGGTGTGGTGCAGAGGGTTAATACGCTGGACTTCAAAGTCGGTTTGAACTACAAGGTTGGCTGTTCAAGCTCATCAACTGCTTCTTGGAAATCCTATACAGGGTTGCTATGGGTCAGAACTGGGCACTTAAAAACAACAACATTGTCAGTTATAATGTGGAAGATGAACCTCTCAAGTTGGAAGGCACCAAATGTGACTGAGGTAGAGCTGCCTCCTCAAAGTAGAGGTGAATGGGGTACAGCTTTCAAGAACCTTCATTTGCTGATGGGACACAAATAAAAATGAGGAGATATAGCTGTAAATATTCCATCCACTAATAACTGGATGGAATGTACATAGTATAAATCTGGGAAAATTAGAAATTGTCAAAAATGAAATGGACCACATAAAAATCCATATCCTAGGTATTAGTGAGTTGAAATGGGCTGGCAATGGCCATTTTGGATCTGACAATCACATGGTTTTAAATGCTAAAAGTGACAAATTGAAGTAGAATGGAAACACATCATCAAAAAGAACATTTCAAGATCTGTCTTGAAGCTATTTGTGACAGGATAATATCCACAAATCTACAAGGTAGATCACTTAGTAATGCTATTTACAAACTCAAAATTGTAAATAACACTATTTACAAATTCAAATTTACAAACTGACCACTCAAGACAGTGATGATGAAATTGAAGAATTCTACCAATTTTTTTCAGTATGAAATTGATCGGACATGCTGCAATCAAGATGTACTGATTATTATTTGTGATTGGAATGCAAAGGTTGGAAACAAAGAGGAAAATACAGACTTGGTGACAGAAACAATGCTGGAAATCGCATTATTGAATTTTCAAGACCAATAACTTAATCATTGCATATATATTTTTTAAAACAACATAAAAGATGACTATACATATGGACCTCACAAGATGGAATATACAGAAATCAAATTGACTACATCTGTGGGAAGAGACCGTAGAAATGCTGCACATATCAGCCAAAACAAGGCTAAGGAAGACTGGAGCAGACCATCAATTGCTCATATGCAAGTTCCAGCTGAAGCTGAAGAAAATTAAACAAGTCCCTGAGAGCCATAGTATGACCTTGAACAGATTACACCTGAACTTAGATATCATTTCAAGAATAGATCTGATGAATTAGGCACTAATGACCAAAAACCACAAGACTTATGAGATCAAGAATATCAGACAGAAAGAAAGCAAAAGACTATCAAGAAAACAAGAAAGAAGGAAAAGACCAAAACAGATGTCAGAAGAGACTCTGAAACTTGTTTTCCAGCTTAGAGATGCTAAGCAATTTGAAGAAATGATGAGGCAAAAGAGCAGAAGAGACAATTTCAAAGGGTAGTTCAAGAAGACAAAGTTAAGTATTATAAGGAAATCTGTAAAGACCTAGAGTTAGAAAATCAAAAGGGAAGAACACACTCAACATTTCTTAAGCTGAAAGAATTGAAGAAAAAAATTTAAGCCTTGATTTCTGTTTTGGTGCTGCACGATCAGCACTGGACTGTGCACCACAAGGTCAGCAGTTCAAACCACCAGCTGCTCCTTGGAAACCCTACACAGGGTCACTATAAGTCAGAACTGACTCAATGTCATTTGACGACAATAAGGAGCAAAATATTGAATGATGCATAAAAGCATTGAAGAAGATGGAAGGAATAGACAGAGTCGCTGTACCAAGAGGAAATGGTTGACATTCATCCACTGCAAGAGGTAGCATATCATCAACAACCAATGGTACTTGAATGAAGAAGTCCAATAGGCACTGAAGGCAATGGCAAAGAACAAGGCTCCAGGAACTGTTTGAATATAAACTGAAATCTTTCAACAAACTGATGCAACAAGGGAGGCACTCACTCATCTATGCCAAGAAATTTGGAAGACAGCTACCTGGCCTATTAATTGGAAGAGATCCATATTTGTGCCCATTCCAAAGAAAGGTTACCTAATGGAATGAAGAAGTCATTGGACCACATTATTAGTATCACATGCAAGTAATAGTTTGCTAAGGATAATACAAAAACAACTACAATAGGACATTGACAGAGAACTGCCAAAGGTTCAAGCCAGATTCAGACTAGGATGTGGAACAAGGGATATCATTGTTGATATCAGATGGATCTTGGCTGAAAGCAGACAATACCAGAAAAATGTTTATTTATCCTTCATTGACCATGTAAATGGTTTTGACTGTGTGGATCATCACAATCTATGAACATTGCGGTGAATGGACCTTACTGAATTTATGAAGAACCTGTACATAGAATGAGAGGCAGTCTTTCAAACAGAACAAGAGGACACTGTGTGAGACCAAGGAGAAGAATCCATTTTGTATATAGGCTTAAGCATGTCCTCTAGTTTCAGAAAATGTGCCATGTTTATATTATATATATATATATAGCCCTCCAGCCTCAGCAATAGTCAAAATAGCTGTTAGCTTAATGCTAGATGTTTCCCCTTATCTTAGCCTAGCAACTTAGACCACCAGTAATAACCAATTAGATTGTAACATTTCATACCTTGCTAAATATCAGCCAATCCAAAAATTGTAAAGCTGAAAAACCCCGAGTTTGCATAAAAACTGTATAAAAGCCCTGCAAACTGGGAGTTCGGGGCTTCATCCTAAATCCGCTGCTTTGGATGTGGATGTAGTCTGGGCTCGAGCTTGAATAAAAACAACCCTTGTGCACTTGCATCAACATCGGCTCCTTGGTGGTCTTTGGGGACCTCAAATTCTGGGCATAACAACTGAACAGTTTAAATTCAGGACAGGTGTGTGCCAGAGTTGTATTCCTTCACCATGTTTATTCAGTCTGTATGCTGAGCAAATAATCCCAGAAACTGGATTATATGAAGAGTAGTGTGGCACTGGGATTGGAGGAAGACTCATTTACAACTTGTGATATGCAGATGATGCATACCCTTTAGTATGGGTTCCACCTCAATGTAAAGAAAACAAATCCTCACCACTGGACCAATAAATAACATCATGATAAAAGATTGAAGTTGTCAAAGACTTAATTTTGCTTGGATCAACCATCGACACTCATGGAAGCAGCAGTCAGAAAATCAGAATGACGGATTGCATTAGGCAAATCTGCCCAAGACTTCTTTAAAATGTTCAAGAGCAAAGATGTCAATTTGAGGACTAAGGTACCCCTCCCAAAGCTATGGTATTTTCAATAGTCTCATATGCATGTTAAAGTTAGATAATGAATAAGGAAGACCATGGAAGAATTGATGCATTTGTGTTACAGTGTGGGATAAGGATATTAAAAGTACCATGGACAGCCAGAAGAGTAACGAAATTTACTGTGGAAAAAGTATAGTCAGAAAGTTCCTTAGAAGCTAGGATGGTGAGGCTTCGTCTCTTATACTTTGGACACATTATCACAAGGGACCAGTCCCTTGAGAAGGATATCATGCTTGGCAAATTGGAGGACCAACGAACAAGAGGAAGATCCCTAATGAAATGGATTGGCACAGTGGAAGGAGTAATGGGAACAAGGATAACAAAGATTGTGAGAAAGCTGCAGTACCGGCAGTGTTGTTCATAAGGTTGTTGGAGTCAAAACTGACTCAATGGCATCTAACAACAACAGAAGAGTTTTGTTTATCGTAAACTGCTGCCAAAGAAAAGATTTAGGGCCACTTGATTGTTTCTGTCATGGACTGA